CAGCCGCCCCCGCCGGCTTCCCCCTCCGCACCCCGAGGGCCCTTGCAAGGACGGAGGCCAAGAGCCAAAAAGCTGAATGGGAAGAAGCGCGGGGCTCGGCAGTTGGCATCTCCTTTTGCTGTGTTTCCTCCAACGCGCTCCTTATTTACATGTCAAATCGGAACAGAACAGAAGAGTTCCTCCCACGTGGATAATATTTTCTGCTGGATAATGTGGTACCGGTAATCATATGGGTGACAGCAAAAGAGACGCCTGGATTGATGGTCGAGACGACAAACAGCCATGTCACCCCAGGCTGAAGATGCGTCTGGGGCAGTCTCTGCCTCCCCTGTCCTTTATTTAAAGCCATGTTCTTTATTTAAAGTTTAGGTAAGGCATTTTTTTGCAACCTAGAGTAAAAGGTACGTATTTTCAGTGTTTGCAAAACGGCTCGTTTCTGGACAAAAGTATAGCAGAAGCAAACTTACCTTACTCATTTACTCCACATATTTAGGCATTGCGCTTAATAAATCACACTTGCTGAAGAGCAAACACTGTTCTTGATGGCAAAAAGAAAGTAAGTGTGGGTTTTTTCCCATTGTGCTGTGTAGCCAAGAAGAAACCACTTGGCTGTCTGGAATGGTCTACGTTTTGCAAGAGAAAGCAGTCACCGAAGAGATAAGCAGGGACCTAGGGGGCTGATGCAGGTACAGATCCACAGGGCTGAAGCTCCCCCAGCCCCTTGGCAAGGGCATGGTTTTCCTCTCACCAAACTCGTCTTGGCTTTCAGTCTAATCTAATGGCTCGTGTCACCGCTGTCCCTCCCCGTGCGCTAGTGCTCTCAGCTGGGAGCTGGTTCACAAGCAGTCCAGATCTGCATTTTTGAGTTGCTCAGCTCTAAAACAGGACCCAAAATCTCCTGTAATGAGTCATAAAAAGTCATTCTAATGGACCAGGTGATGTAACCAGTTAAGATTCCGATAAATCCCGTAATCCTAAACCAGAATATTGCATCCTCTCACCAGTTCTCACACCTGAGCAAGGGCTTATCCTGCCCACTGTTATGGGGCCAGAACTTGTGGCCTGGAGCTGTGTGTTTCACCTACGGAATCCTTGCTCCAAAGCGGAGAAGCTGAAATACAGTCCTTGGTCTGGGGGTTTTGTTTCTTCAGTGCTCTTTTTGGTTGATTTTAGGATCCACGTAATCGCATTTTCTGCTGAAAAACTGCAGAGGTTTGTAACGTGAGCTTGTGTTTACCACAGAGAGTGGAAATTTTTATCCTGGGCATTTTTGTTGTTCCCAAGAAAGATGAATGGAAATCTGCAGATGGTGCCTGGTAGCCAGTTCCACATTTCATGATCAAGAACCTGCATTACAAAGAAAAGCATTTTGTGTATTTGCTGACACAGCTATTTGCCATACTTTTTGTTTATTTAGATGTGGGGTCTGATGGGATGAGGTATGTAATTCACTGGGCAAGGCAGCATGGTTTTGCAGTTTCTTAATTCAATATGTGAAACTGATTTACAAAATCAGTTTACAAAAAGAATAATTTACAAAACTCCATGCATTTTTCTACTGTCCGAAAATCATGGCGAGCCCCGGGCAGGCAGAGGTGTGAAGTGCTGGGACAAACTGACCTTAAGGAGAGCGGAGCCGCCTGCGTTTCTCTGGCTGAATCCCTGTCGGGCTGGATTCACAGGGACTCGGGAGCTGAGTTTCAGTGCAAAGCCCAGCTCTGCTGTCTCTGTCTCTTACACCCTGGGGGAATGTGCTGCAGAGAAACCTGCTTCTCCCTTCTCTTACCCCCATCTGTTTGGGGGCTGCCCCCTTGCCTCAGCTGGAGGGGGTTTTCACAGAATCCCAGCCTGGCAGGGGCTGGCAGGGCCCTCCGGAGCTCACCCAGTGCCACCCCCCTGCCCAAGCAGGGTCACCCAGAGCAGGGGGCACAGGACAGCGTCTGTGCGGGGTCCAGCGGGGGTTGAAGATCTGGAGACTCCACAGCCCCCCTGGGCAGCCTGGGCCAGGGCTCGGGCACCCTCCAAGTCAAGAAGTTCTTCCTCCCGTTCAACTGGAACCTCTTCTGCTTCAGTTTGTGCCCGTGGCCCCTTGTCCTGGTGCTGGGCACCACTGGGAAGAGTCTGGCTTTTATTAAGTCCGAGGCAATAACCAAGCTGGATGTGGTGGCGTTTGTCCGTAGCCCTGTGTGCTGGCCCGCAGCAGCGTTCCTGGGCATCCAGCTCACGGCTGAGCTGACCTGCGCAGCACAGAGGTGGCTGCATGGCTGCGTGGGAGACACCAGAAGAACGGGGCTCCTGTAGTGCTGAGTCGCACCACCGTGGCTGGGATAGGTTGCCCCTGGGTAATGGAAAGCAGATCGTGCTTCGTTTCCCTCTTTTCTCCCAGAGGAACTGTTGTACAGCGCCGTGCGTCTCAGAACTGTGCTTTGTACGATTGTAATTCTCAGTTCCTTGAAGGGGGGGTTGGGTTTTTCTCTCGTTGCAGCTACACTAGGAGCTGTGTTTGGCCTAACTACCTGCCTCAGTGCCCAAATCCGAGAGAAACCAGAGGATCCCTTGAACTACTTCATAGGAGGCTGTGCAACAGGAGCTGTCCTGGGTGCAAGAGGTAAATGTGGTAACGCCTGTAACGAAATGAGCCTGCTCTGCTTTTAGAAACCTTTCTATTAGGGAGAAATGTAAAATAACTTGAAATTGCAAGGTATGAAAAACATAATTGTGGAAATCCATGTTTTCTTGGCAACAAATGTGATTGATTTTACATGGAAAATACAACATCTGCCTTTTGAATTCTTCATGCGCTCTGAGGGCTAAGCTGTATCTTGCCGCTGCCGCTCCTGCAGCGTCTTGTCAGGCGAGGTTGGCTCCTGCGGATGTTTACGCGGCTCTGTTTTCTCTGGGCGTTTTCAGGCTCAGTGTTACAGATGCAGGGGATTTATCTCAGTTGTAATCGTGCGAAATAGAATTTATCTTTACTTTTCCTAGTTGTTGAGGCGATGCGGGTTCGAAGCAGTGATTGTTAGGTTTGTCGGCGAAAAAAAGTCATTTAAGATTGCCTGAGTAAGGAGATGGGGTTATAGGAATTGGTAGGTATAGAAATTGCGAACTGCAAGCTGAAAGCGTGAGAAAACTTAATTTTAAAAAGATCACTTTTCTGATTCCTCTTGGCAAAAACATTACTGATGGTCAAGGGACCGTGAGTAGCTGGTGGAAGAATTGCAGAGTCTGTCGAGATCTACCGTAATGGTTTGGTTTGTTTTTTCCAGCTCACAGCTACATGACCGGTACCACTGCGTGTTTGGGGTTTGGAATTACTGCTGCTCTCATGAAGATCGGCAACAAGGAGGGCTGGAGGCTGACGGGACCTCCCAAGCTGTAACTGTAGCCTTTCCTCCCCGCGAGCTGTCTTTTGAATGCTGTATGTAAGAAGCCGTTGTGTAATAAAGATACTGTCGAGTCAGCAGTTGTCACAGAATTTGGACGCCGTCCAGCTGTTTACAGTGTTGGGGCTGAGTTGCAAGAAAAGTGGAGCTGTTGGGGAGGAAGCTTCAATCTGCTGCACCTGCTGAGATTTCCTTTCCATGCACGAGTCACTTTGCCTCCATGTCTCTGTATTGCGCACGCAAGCCTGAGGGGTACAGTTACCGTTTTCAGTCTGGTCTTTTAGGAGTTGTTCTTGTAGTTCCGAGTGGGTCCTGCAGGATTTTTTGGCAAGGATTGGAATTGCACCGCACAGTGACCGTCAGTAAGGGCTTGGAGTCAACGCTTCTGAAGAGGCACTTGGCTCTAGGTTGAGGATTAGGAATTTGGGGTGGGGGGAGGAGGTACAAGATTGCCCACAGGGTGTTTGTGAGCCTGGGGGCTTTTTCTGATAAGCATTCATACAAGTCTGGAGCACACAACTTCAGGGTTAGAATTGGGGAATAGCTGAGGTTGGAAGGGATCCCCAGAGATCTTCCTGCTCAGAGTTGGAGCAGGTTGCTCAGGGCGGTGTCCAGTTGAATTTTCTGTGTGCAAACTGAAGTGCGTCCAGCAAAGCTGGAAGGCTGCGCTGCCATTCAGTGGGACCTGGACAGGTTGGAGAGCTGGGAGGAGAGGAACCTGATGAAGTTCAACAAGGGCCAAGTGTTGGGTGCTGCCCCTAGGGAGGGAGGGTGGACCCCCAGGCACCAGTACAGGCTGGGGGCTAACCTGCTGGAAAGCAGCTCTGCCGAGAGGGACCTGGGAGTCCTGAGCCAGCAGGATGCCCTGGTTGCCAAGAAGGCCGATGGCATCCTGGGGTGCATGAAGAGGAGCGTGGCCAGCAGTGCGAGGGAGGTTCTCCTCCCCCTCTGCTCTGCCCTGCTGAGACCCTACCTGGAGCACTGGGTCCAGTTCTGGGCTCCCCAGTTCAAGAAGGGTGAGGAGCTACTGGAGAGAGTCCAGAGGAGGGCAAGAAAGATAAGGAGGGGACTGGAGCATCTCCCCTAGGAGGAAAGGCTGAGGGAGCTGGGCTTGTTCAGCCTGGAGAAGAGAAGGCTGAGAGGGGATCTCATCAACACCTACAAATATCTCAAGGGTGGGGGTCATGAGGATGGAGCCAGACTCTTCCCAGTGGTGCCCAGTGCCAGGACAAGGGGCCATGGGCACAAACTGAAGCAGAAGAGGTTCCAGTTGAATGGGAGGAAGAACTTGTTGACTGTGAGGGTGCCTGAGCCCTGGCCCAGGCTGCCCAGGGGGGCTGTGGAGTCTCCTTCTCTGGAGATCTTCAACCCCCGCCTGGACGCTGTCCTGTGCCCCCTGCTCTGGGTGAGCCTGCTTGAGCAGGGGGGTGGCACTGGGTGAGCTCCGGAGGGCCCTGCCAACCCCTGACAGTCTGGGATTCTGGGATTCTGTGAAAGCCACCAAGAAGGTGTAGAGGGTTAAGGCATGGGATGCACAAGGAGAGGTGAGGAGAACTGCCTCATTCAGCCTGGAGAAAAGAAGGTCATGCAATTACCATTTTTTCCACAGCTTAATGGTTACAGAAAAGGCAGGCTCAGGTGCTCGGTGAAGGATGAGAAATAACAAGCACAAGTTGCAGAAAGGGAAATTCTCACCATTGTAACTTGAAACTGGGCAGAGGTGTCAAAAATCACAAGAAAGGGTTCTTCAGGTATGTGAGCTACAAGCAGAAATAGAAGGAGAGGAGGCCCGCTGTTGAACAGAAGAGGTGAATCGGTCACCAACAGTGCTGAAAAGGCAGAGGTTCTCAACGCTTTCTTCACCTCTGTCTTATCAACACTGTCGGGTCCCAGGCTTTGGGAACAAAAATCCAACCATAGACCCCCCCTCAGTGAAGGAAGAGTTAATGTGTGAATTATTACAGGAGCTTGACCCCTACAAATCAATGGGCCCTGACGCCATTCACCCAAGGGTGTTGAGAGAGCTGGCTGATGCCATCGTGAGGCCGCTCTCCATAGTCGTTGAGAAGTTGTGGAGATTGAGAGATGTCCCAGAGGACTGGAGGAAGGTGAACATTACCCCTATCTACAAGAAGGGTTCAAGGGAAGATCCAGGAAATTACAGGCCCATCAGTCTTAATTCAGTCCCCAGAAAAGTTATGGAGCTGTACAAAAAAGCTGTGGGCAGGCTGGAGGGGTCCAGAGCTGGGCCACCAAGGGGATCCAAGGGCCGGGGAGTCTCTCTCAGCCAGATGGGGATGGGCTGAGAGCTGGGTTTGTTCAGCCTTGAGCAAAGGAGGCTCAGAGGGGATCTCATCACTGTTAATTAAAATTAATTAAAATTATCAGTGATGAGTAAAGTAAATAAAGTAAAATTAACTCTGTCCCAGCTGAAACCAGGACAGTACCAGTATTTAAAGGGTGGCTGCAAAGAGGATGGAGACTCCCTTTTCACAAGGAGTCCCATGGAAAAGACAGAGGGTAATGGGTACAAGGTGATCCTGAGAAGCTTCCGATCGGACATGAGAGGGAAATTTTTCCCCGTGAGAACAGTCGCCCATGGGAATGATCTCCCCAGGGGGAGGGGTTGACTCTGCCACATTGGGAACTTCCAAGCCTCAGCTGGACAGGGTGCTGGGCCATCTTGGCTAGGCTGGGCTCTTGCCCAGAAAGGTTGGGCCAGTTGATCCTGGAGGTCGCTACCAACCTGGGATTTTGTGATTCTATGATTCTGTGGTTTTAACTAGATAGAAGGAAAAAAAAAACCCTCACACTTGGGGTGGGTAAGTGCTGGAAAATGGACTTGGAAAGGCTGTGAAATCGTCATCTTTGTGGCACAGAATTCAACCAGGCACAGGAATATGAGGGTACAGGGACAGGACATTTGGGGACGGGGATATGAGTTAATAGAGGCAGGGAATATGGGCGCTAAGGGAAGCAGGGATGTGGGGTAGGGGCCACAGGGAGGTGGGAGGGGACAGGAGATTGGGGAACCCAGGACAGCAGAGGAGGGGGCAGAGCGGCACGGGGGGACACATGGTCACAGCCATGTGCTGCTCCCTGGTGTGTGCTCTCTGTGGGCAGGTGGGGATCCCGGGGGGTGCAGGATGGTCCTGGGGGTGCATGAGGCTGGGCCAAGGGGCCGGTGTCCCCGTGTGCTTCCTGGCACCGGGGCTGGGGGACCCCTGGCTCTTCGGTGGGGGCTCAGTGGGGCTGGGCTCCCGTTCAGGAGCACAACGGGTGGGGCTGGGAGAGCAGGGGGGTGTGTTCCTCTCCCACCCCAGGATTTTTGGGGGATCCCTGCTTCGCCCTGGACTCTGGAGGTGAGTGAGGTTTGGGGGGGTCGGATGGGCCAGAGACCCCCAACAAGCCCTGCCCAGGGTACCCCAGGGTTTACAGCCCTGCCTGCCCCTTCCCGCTGCCTGAGAGGGGAAAAAAATCCTGGCAGCTTCCGCCTGCCCCAGTGCCTGTCCTCAGGGAACCTGGGTGTCCCCACCGCCCTGTCCCAGGGCTCCGGGGCCTCGGACCTCCCTCCGCCTGGGCCTCTCCCAGCTCCTGGCCGCGGCCACGTGTCCCGTCTGGGCTATAATTACCCGGACACATTCCTGGGGGGTCACAGGAGCTTCCCGGAGCAGCAGCAGGCGGTAAGGGGGGACGGGTGCGTGGCACAGCGTGGCATGCCACGCCGCAACGCAGGACTGCAAAGCCGGGCTGCAAAGCGCGTGGCCCAAGCAAGGACACGCGACGCCACGCAAACACAGCGAATGACACGTGAGGTGCCACTTGTGACGGGGAGGGGGGGGCGGCAGCGTGCAGCGCACCATGGTGTGACGCGGCATGGCGCATGGGGATCGGCACACCCCGCCAGTAAGCAGTGCAAGAGGGCGCACGATGTACGGCCTCACACGCATCTCGCAGTGCAACGTGTCGCAACACACGACAGGCGTCGCAACACGCGACAGCACACAGCAGTCGCTGCCGTGCACCGAACGGGTGGGACAGGCGGCTTCCCGGGGAGCCGTTCCGGGGGCCGGCAGCTTTGCCGCTGTTGGAGCACCAGTAATTTCGACTATGGGGCAATGGGCAATGGTTGGGGAAGGGCTTGGTGGCTTCTGCTGTAGGGTGGAGGGTTTGATGGGGGACAGTGGACTGAGCTATGGGGCTGTGGCTTTCAGTTGGGGCAGCAGCGTTGGCTTCATCCTCAGGGTTCAGCAATGAGGCAGATGAGGGACGTCAGCCCGGGCGATACAGCCCGTTGGTCTCACCTACTGGGCTGCAGTTTTGCCAAGGGGAATTAAATTCAGCCATGGAGCAGTAGCAGTTCCTGGTGGCCTCAGCTGTGGGGTGGGAGGCTTTGGCAATGGATCCGGTGGCTTTCACTATGGGGCAGTGCCAGCAGCACTGGCAGGCCTCCTGCCACGGGCCGGAGGCTCTGGCTATGGAGATGGCACCCTGACATCCCCACTCCGTCTGTTCCCACAGGCAAGATGTGGGTTGCAGAGGAGCCGGCCCCAGCCCAGTGGAGCCTGCGGGACGGGGCCCATGCCGGCCACTTCCTGGCCAGGGCTGACCATCTCCGCACCACAGGACAGCTGGTGGATGTGGCTGTGGGCCCGGAGGGTGACGTGGCCCATGCCGTGGTCCTGGCCTCCATCAGCTCCTTCTTCCTCCGCTTCCTGGAGGGCAGGACCAGAGAGCTGCGCCAGGGCCCCCCACCCCGTGTCCCCCTTCCACCTGGGGCCACGCTATAGCCCCCCGGGTGGTGGCTGCCTGTGCCCCACGGCTGGAGAGCAACCCCCAGGACGGGGGTCCCAAGGCCCTGGAGGAGCAGTGGGAGACACTAAGAGCCATGGAGCAACTCCACGCCAGCGGCCTGGGCTGTGACCTCCAGCTCCGGGCAGGGGACGAGGTCATCCCAGGTGAGCCAGGGGTGGGGGTCCCCTGGGAGGGGTTGGGGAGGGGGCAGGGCACGCTGGGACAGCCAGGTCCCTGCCAGGGTTGCTGGGGGCTGAGGCTCCAGGCGGGGATGAGGAGGTCGAGGTGCCTGTGGGGCTGGTCCACTGGGAGAGCTGGGCCCAGGACACCTGGGTTCCCAGAGGGCTGCACGGTGCAGAAGGTCCCCCGCTGCCCCCACCGTTCTTCCTCCTTCCCCCCAGTTCAGCGCCTGGCCCTGAGCTGCTCCTGTGACTTCTTCCGCGCCCTCTTCACTTGCCCCATGCGGGAGGCCACCCACGACCCCGCCGCCCCACTGGCCACGGGGCTGTCCCCAGCCGAGCTGCGCCTCCTCCTCTCCTTCGCCTACACGGGGGCTGTGGCGGGGCCGTGGCCCATGGTCCTGGAGGCAGCCGAGACCTCCCTGCACTACCAGGCCTGGGGGCTCCTCACCCTCTGCCTGGATGTTTTCACCCATGGCCTGACCCCAGAAACTGCCCCGGACGTGCTGGCCTTTGCTGTGGCTTACGGGCTGGCCCAGGTGGGCTGTGTAGCAGAGGACTATATCTTGGCCACCTTCCCCAGCGTGGTGGCCACACCAGCCTTCCTGGATCTTCCTGCACACCTTCTCATCCGCCTCCTCCGCTCTGACAGTCTCAATGTCCTCCATGAACTGGAAGCTTTGGAAGCAGCATCCCGGTGGCTTACGGCCAATGGAGATGGCCAAGAGGATCTAGCCAAGGAAGTCCTGTCATCTGTTCGCTTTGCCCTCATGTCCGGCCGGGAGCTGAAGAAGGTCCCATCAGTGACTGCAGGGGTAGCTGACCCAAAGGTCCTCCACAAGCTTGTGGTAGCAAGTTTGGCCCCCATGGCCCAGCTTCCATGCCGGGTGCGCTCCTTGCAAGAGGTGCTGGTGGTTTGTGGTGGAGACAAACTGACGACCAACTTGGCTGCCCGGAAGCCCAGTGGACACCTCTGGTTTGCCCACTGCTACCTCAGTGCTGTGGGGCTGGTGAAGCAGGTGGAGTGGCGGGCACTGGGGCACTTTCCTGATGGCCCACGCTTCCGCCATGCTGTAGCTGTAGTGGGCAACATCCTCTATGTCCTGGGTGGAAAACGCTACTATGGGGTCCATGATACCCTGGCCAGTGTCTACAGGTGAGGGCTACAGAGGACCTAGAGGTGCCATGTGGCATCAGGACATTGTGGGATCAGAGGAGGTGTTGGTGGAGCTAGAGCTGCCCATGGACCCAAGGCATTTGGCATTGCGGTTCGTCAAGTGCCTCCAAGGCATTCTGGTATTGGCTGGGTGTAGGACTGGGAGGTGCCCTTCCGCTCTGGGATGTTACAGGGGTTTTGGGGAGTAGGGCAGAGAGAATCCTATCTGGAAATGCCTCAGGGAATTATGGGTTTGGTATTGGCCAGAAGGAGGAGATATTCCCATGCAAGGGGACCACATGGCCCAAAAGTGTTATGGGATTGGCAGGTTGTAGGTGGGTTGTTGTCCTCAACAGTGCCAACATGATAGGTAATAGGTGGTTCCTTGTCCCTTTACCTCTCAAACCCAGGTATCAGCCTATGGACGATTCCTGGGAGCGCCTGGCGAGCATGACCTGTGGGCGGAGCTACTTTGCCGCTGTGGCGCTTGGGGATTTCATCTATGCCCTGGGGGGCACCTCGGGGGAGCTCTACTGCACAGACACTGTGGAGTGCTATGACCTGGCCAATGACACCTGGAGGTGAGACCGCTCCACATGGAGACCTGCTTCCCTCTGCCCGAGCAGCCCCTGCGTTGGCCAGTGGTGCCCACTGCTCTTTGGGTCACTGAGCCTCTGACGGAGAATGGGCCTACAGTGGCCTTTGGGAGAGGTCTACTGGGTGTTGAGCAGCTGTGTCCCTTGGAGGTCACTGGGTGTTGGCCAGTGATACCTATTGGGTGGTGAATGAGTTTTTGGCCAATAGTATTCACTGAGGGCCTGTTGGCCATCTGCCAATGAGGTGAATAATTTAAACATCTTCCAGCTATGTTCATTGGGTGCTTTGTTGGGTATTGGCCAATATTGTCCATTAGGGAGTCTACTGTGGGTTGACCAATGGTGCCTTTTGGGATCTACAAAGCATTGAACAGTGGTGGGCAGCCATTATGTGTTGGCTGATGCTGCCCACTGGGGTTCATTGGGTGTTGGCCAACGTTGACTGCTGAGCAGCCAATGCAGCCATGGCCCACTGGGGAACTCCTGGGCAGGCAGTCACCACGGGGCAGCCATGCTTCCTGCCCTTCACCCCCTCCCTCTTTCCTTGCCCAGGAGCTGCCAGCCCCTGCCAATGGCTCTGTGCGGTCACGCGGCGTGTGCCCTGGATGGTGCCCTCTACGTGTCAGGGGGGTGTGATGAGGCATGCCAGTGCCAGGCGGCCATGCTGCGCTACATCCCGGGTGCGCCTGCCACAGTCCTGGCCCCCATGAACGGCCAGCGAGCTGGGCACATCATGGAGGAAGCGGGTGGGCAGCTCTACGTGGCTGGAGGGCTGTGCCAGCAGGAGGGGCAGACTGGCTACAGGGACCAGCTGGCCTTTGAGGTCTACAGCCCCAAGCTGGACATCTGGGTCCTCCTCAGCCCCCTGCCCCATGCCCATGTTGTTGGGGGTGCAGCTGTGCTGGGGGGGGAGCTGCTCGTACTGGGAGGGTACAGTCATGAAACCTACCGGGACACCCACTTGATCCATGCCTACCAGCCAGGCACCCGGCGCTGGATCACCCGGGGCACCTTACCCCATGCCTATACTGACCTCCAGGCTTGTGTCCTCACCGTACCCCCTGCCTTGCGTGGGCCCAAGTGCCTTGAGGACAACTCGAGCTCATCTGACACCCCCAATAATACTTAGGGGGTGCTTAAAAGCTCTGCACCCCTTACTGGGATCCCCAAGTAGCATCCATGGGCACCTCTATGGCACAAAAATCACTCCTAGATCCCTTCACCACAATGGGTTCCCCCTGTGGTTTCCAGCAACCCCCTCACCCCCAGGGTACGTGCCCTAGACTGTGAGGACCCCGTGGGACACAAAGACTCCCCACAGTGTAACCCTGTGCCTCCAGAAATACTCCCCTGCCCTGACCCCCTCACTGGGAGCTGGGAATCCCCCAATTTCCCCCCACACTTGGGTTGAATAAAAGTAGCTCCTGAACTGCCCACCTGGGTCTTGTGGTTTCTGCTGGGAAGCCCAGACATCCAGGTGCTTCTCGCAAGGAACGGGAGCAGAAGACCAATGGTCTGAGTGTCCTGGATGGGTGGTGTGGGGGACCAGGATTGCCTGGATTCCTGGGTCCCCTGGGAAGCAGTGGAGGGCACCGGGATTGAGGGCATTAGGGCTCTGGGTGCCTGCGTTCATTGGGCATGGGGGAGGGTGTGCGTGTGTTTCAGGATTGAGAGGCATCTTGGGGTGCGTGGGGGATCCTGAGGGAATAGGAGGGTCCTGGGGGTACCAGGGTTTTGGAGTAGATGGGGGGCACTGTGGGGTCCTGGGGGCTTTGTGGTTCCTGGGTGGTTCTGGGAGGTCTTGGCTTCCTGGAGTGACCTGGAGTGCTTGTGTGGAGAGGTGGGAGAATCCTAGGGAGGACTTGCAAAGAGATGTGGAGGCAATGGGGATTCTGGGAGATACTGGGGTACCAGTGGTACCTTTAGGGAGGGAATTGAGGGTCCTAGGATGTGTAAGGGAGGGTGCAGGTTCTCATGGCTCCCCAAACCAGTATTTTAGATGTGGTTTAATGAGCGCTGAGCAGAGGGGAATAATCACTTCCCTCGGTCTACTGGCCATGCTCTTGTTAACCCAGCCCAGGCTTCTGTTGCTCTGTCTTTGCTGCCAGGATGCGTGTCTGGATCTTGTTCACCTTTCTGTCGATGAAGACACACAGGTCCTTTTCCATAGCTCTGCTCCCCAGCCAGTCGGTCCCCCACCAGCACTGCTGTGGTCTTTCTTCCAAGGCACAGGACTTTGCATTTGTCCTTGTTGACTTTCATCAGGTTTCTGTCAACCCAATTTCTCCAGGGCAAACGGTGCTCCCTGAAGGGTGGTCCTGTTGGAAGCGTACGAACTGATCCCTCCCAACCTGGTGGCATCTACCAACGTGATAAAAGCACACTCGGTCACATCCTCCATGGCATTCATAAAGACGTTAAATAAAAGTTTCCGGCACAGCCCCATGGGGTACTCCACACGTTACCAGCATCCAGGTGGAGCATGCTCCCTTAACCCCTGGTCCTGACCTTCACGCGTCTTTTTACCTGTCCAATTCTCCAGTCATTCGGAGCTTGATAGCCTAACTTGGATGCCATGACATTGTGGGAGAAGCATCAAAAGGAAGTCAAAGCTCCTGGAGAGGTGAGAGCTGATGCATGCTGGCCCACCACAGAGCCCAAGCACAAGAATGTGAGAAACAGCACCGTTACAAAGTAAGAAAAGGTCTCCTTAACCACCAACATTGCTATGTAAGAGCAGAGGGGGTGAAAAATGTCCCAGGATGTAGTAAAAGTATGTGATAAAGGAAATAAAAAGGGCTCTCTGGGTCTTCCCAAGGCCACCCATGTGTCCTTTGGATGCTCTGAGGGTCTCTTGGGCTGTTGCAGTCACCTCTAGAGCTGTTCAGAAGGATTCTGGGTCAAATTTGGGGTCTCTGGGGCTGTTCCTGTTGTCCCAGGAAAGAGGGAGAGAGTATGGTGGGGTCAGAGGACAGCACCAACTCACGGATGAATGCTTGCTTACAAACACAGAGCTTGCATGGCCACAGACGCGCTAGCACACGGGAGCTGGACTGGCAGCCCCAGCTGGCCGAGCACAGGCACATGTACCCTTCTGTGGACCAATTAATTAATCCAGCAGAAGGCCTGCTGACCCATGGTAGCTGGGCAATACATTTGGGACAGAACAGGAGCAACATTTGAGACTGCAAGGGCGATTCAGATGTTCACTGCATTTGTGCACTGCTGCTGGGGCTTGCTTTTCCCCCCCTGCCGATGACAACGTCTGTCTCCTTCTCACACCTCCCAAAATCTTTTGGTGACTTCTGCAAAGGTGGTCACAAAGTTTGGCCAACCCCTGGCTATTTTGTCCTAGTGTCATCCCTTACAAGTCACTTCCATTGCCCTCTGAAGCCTTCTGCCCTCCTCCCCCCATTTCCAGCCATCCCATGATGGATCATGGAGATGCATCGACACCGTTTCCCGAACTTATTACATGGCAGTGGGCGATGCCTTGGGATACTCTTCCCATGTGATTCAAGCTCACAGTGAAGGATCATCACAGTGAAGTGCCCAGGTGGCCAAAAAGGCCAAGGGCATCCTGGCTTGTATCAGGAGTGGTGTGGCCAGCAGGAGCA